TGAAGATGAATCAGAAAACAATTAGATTAAAGACAACGGAAAAGCTAAAATGATGACCCATATTGAAGGACAAAAGGCCACTGAAGGAATGCTCTGTTTCATGGAGAAGTAAGGTACACTGCGAAAAAAGGGCACAGTTCTATATCTCCTGTTCTACTGGGCCAATCGACGAAACTGAACTTGTGTTTTTCATGTCTTGAAAGAACAACATAGGATATGTATCAGATTTATATATAGCATTGTTATAATACAGGTATTTTTCACAAAATAGGACCTTTTTTGAAATGACATGAAAGTTTTTTCAATATTTCGATTCTACGACTCAAATCACGCTAAACTGGTCCCCAAAAAACTGCTAGTTTTGTAAAAATTGCACGAGCAGTTTTTTTTTTTTAATTAGCTCTTAACCCCTTCACACTGAATGTCACGTCTACGTGCCAGCAACGAACACACTCACCTCCCGGCCGACACGCAGGTGTGACAGTGCATTTTTTCGTTTACTACCGACTGTCATGTATTTGTGCCAGTCTCCTGGAACGTTTTTCAAACTATAATTTCTGCCACAAGATGGCACTGTATGTCCATATGGTTTCAGGTACATGTACATTAGACCTTCTACTCGAAATGAGAGAAGCATGACTCGCATACACATGTTTTTGATTATATAAACAAACGGGGAACTAAATGTTTCCGAATGGCGTGATTTATAACGTCTCTTTAAATCGCACTTTATTCGAACGTGGTAGTTGTTTATTGTAAGTAGAAGTTTTATATGCGCTAAAGCATTGAGTATTTCGGTTTGCAGTTCAGTTTTTAGAAAATAATTAGATCTTGTTAGACGTGAATTCTTTCTGTTTTTACCGTTGCAATGTCGAAATGTTTAACAGAGCATGAAAATGTTTAACAGAGCATGAAATAGCAGAAATGAGGCAAAATACTTCAGATATTGATTCTGAAAGATTAACTGAAAGACATTTTCCAAAACTTTGTTCAGAAGAGACTGATAAGAAAATGAGACGACAATGCTTCGTTTGTTCACATTCCCGGAAAAATCCTCCAAAACAGAAATGAGTTATTACGAGTGCAAGGAATGTAACGTAGGACTGTGTGTAGATCCCTGTTTTCAAGTTTTTCATATGAAAAGATAATTTTAAGTACTATATTTAGTTTTCAGATGTATAATGTTAAAAGTCATAAAATGGTGAGTAATTAAAATAAAATGTGTAAAATATGCATTTAAACAAGAAATAAGGTAATTAAAGTATATATATAAAATATCTATAAAGCATAAGCCGTTTAATACTCTATAGAGCATTATAAACAATGCAGGATACTTCGGAATTTCATGGATTTAGGCTTAGTAGCAAAAAAGCTCCCGGCCCTGGAGAGACGCTCGCGTAAGACACTGCCGGCCTCAGCGATAAGCGTGCGTTTTCGCTACCCGGCTCGAAGGGGTTAAAACTTTAGTTCCTCAATGTTAATTGAATTTGGTACATACAGTACAAAGTCCAATATCTGGACATCACAGTCACCACAAACCATTTTTGCTTTACACATTTGATTTCCCTCCTCACAATAAAACATGTGAACAGTCCCAATTCTTAATCTCACTTCAGCACTAAATAACATACCTCGTAATTGAAGAAATTATGATTTTAGCATAAATTTATGTGATCAATAATTTGACTCCATAGCTGCGTTTCTGCTTGGCATACATGTCAAAACAAAACATTCTATGTAGAAACATATTCTTGATGGCAACCTGGAGATTAATTACTTATATTTTCCTTTCATCACCGCATGTTTATCAACACATAACAATTTGAGTGATGACTCATGTAGCAATGCCTAAATTTTTTGTTTTTTATATTAGTAATTGAGTAACGAAAGAGTATGATAACCTTTTCTGTTGGCCTTACGCTTGTCGCCGATTACAGATTTAAGTTAAACACACTACAAAATGTTGAAGAGAAAAGAATTTAAACAAAATTTTCTCTTCCTAAGCTAAAAATAGATCTTGTTAATGATACTCATAAACCAAAAGATTACATTTAGTGTTATTTGAAAGAATAATCGATTTGTTTTTCACATAACGGCAAAGCCAGTGCCAGAGCTCAAATGGCCACACCGGGCAGCAGAATTCAGCGAAAGAGGGTAGTTAATAGAAGTTTTACATAGTGATGACAATGCCCCAATCATCAATAAAGTAATGAATGGTAAAATCTGTAGCATGGTTCTAGATCCAGAAAATACCACTACTTATCGTGCAGAAAGTCACAGAGAGATTACTAAAAACAAAAAAAAATTTCCATTGACAAGTCAGTTGGAATTCTTGACCCTGAAATTACAGGACTTGAACAATGGAACTTTGCAACTGAAAAAGAAGTTGTATCTGTCTATAGAATTAAAGAGAAAGTATTAGCACAAAAACAAAGCTAAACAACTTACATTGAAAGAAATATTAAAAAAAATTTGAAAGGTTTCAGATTTTAAATTATGTCCAAAGGGGTGTTTTTTTCCCCTTTATTTATTAAACATCATGTTCTTCGCACTTAAACTATAAAATTCAGTTCAAGACTAATATTACAAAACAATTTTAGATTGAGCATATCTTTAGAATTATTAAGTTTTGTTTGGTAAATTTTGATACCCTTTAGATCATAAATGCTTCATTATTTCATAACTCATGATTCACGTTTTTAGTTTTACAATTCCTACATGCTATCTTATTAGATTTAAACTGATGATCTCATATCCGAAAAAATCCCAAACCAGGGATGGCCAAAATCTCGGACATTTTTCTATATTTAGAAAATCTCTCTCTTTTTTTAAAAAAATTAAACTTGATTCCTTCTTCCTGAATTTGAAAATTAGGCTTAATCCAAATATAATTCATACATTTTTATGATTTACTTCAAAATTTAATATTTGGGCATAATTTGAGTCGTAGAACCGAAATATGGAGAAAAATTGGCACGTCATTTCAGAAAAGTCTGATTTTGTGTCAAAATACCTATGCCAGAATGATGCTCTATATATTTAAAGATAAGAAAAAGGCAATTTGAATTTCACCAATTGATCAAGTAAAATGGAAGATACAGAACTGTCTCCCCTTTTTTTATGCAGTGTACATCTGGTATGGACACTTTGTTCCTCCATCGCTTACAGGATAAATGCGAGAGAAAATCTCCCATCATACGATATATTTCTACCAAGAACTACTAATAATTTTTCTTCATTTTGTAAGTTTTTTACTCAATTTCTACAATATCAATACATATAAATTAATTTTGACCTGTACAATATGTATATCTCCTGTGATATATAGGTATAAGTAAACAATGCTTATTCAACTGCAATAATATGTTTTGGCTTATATATATATAAAACAGTATGTTATGTTGTATTGATTGCTGAAAAATCTTATAGGCTTCATTCAAAGTTTACATTTGGTCATCCAATTTTACCCAAAATCTAATATAGGTAAGGGAAAGTAAAAATTCAGAAGCATAAGTATTTGAGACAGAAGACTGGGAAAACAACAGATTACTACAGTCAAGTCTTTAATCCTGACTCGTCGGGACTTCAATTATCGATCATCAATTTAAATCTGGTAAGATGGCATGCAGAAATTATAAAATTAAAAATATGAAACTGTAATTTATGAAATAAAGAGCAAGTATGATCTAAAGGGTATCAAAATTTACAAAAAAAAAAAAAAAAAAAGCTTAATATTTATTTGTTACTTTATTAAACATTTCTTTGAAAGCACACACGCGTAAAGCATGCATTACGCATAGCCGAAATTAGAAGATTGCAACCAGAAAACTATTTGATGTGTATTCGTGATATTTACAATGAATTTGGTTTAAATCATATCAAAGACAGAGTATATTGAGATGAAATACTACATTTAGTAATGAAGCCTAATAAAATAAAAACATCTGCCCTGAAGATAAGGATAGTGCTGACACATTAACTTCCAGTGCATTGCGCGCAGCAACGTCTCCCCCTCCGCAGAGCAGTGTGAAATTGATAAAACAGATTTCGGATTGGTCAGAGGAACAAAGGATATGCCTTTATCCATTTTTTGCAGCAATTCCACTTTTGTTTGATGGACATTGAAACATGCTTTCGCTTTGTAGATCCAGAATCGGAAATTCTTTTTGACATAATCGAAAGTTCAAGCTTACTTTTATAAAATTGCTCTAACAGTCTGCAAAAAATAATAAGCCGGATCCAATTCGAAGATTAAGGAACAATGCAATCTGCAACATGAACTGAAATGGATAATTAGATAATTTTAGCTTAGCTTATACAATCCGTTATACATTAAACGCGAATGCGTAAGCGCATGCATAAATGTATTATGCACATGCGCATGCGTAAACGTATTATGCTTTTACACATGCGCAGAAAGTTTATAGCTTTGAGATGCGGATTACAGACTTTTGAATGTACATATTTCTTTTTCTTTCATTACACTAATCAAAATCAAAATGAATGTTTTGTTTTCAAAGTAATATTTTTGATCAATGCCTAAATGACACACATTTTAAACAACCTTTTTTGCATAATACAAATATTCGAACTGGAAGATAAATATGTCAATGTAAAGTTTAAATGCAAGAACAGCTTTAGATTACATCGGATTTGAATAATAAAAACCAATATTGAGGGATATACAATTTATGTCCCTCTGCAACAAATCCCATTTATAATGCTAATAACTTTTCTGCATTTAAAAGAAAAACATAACACATCCTTATGCCCTAATAATGGCACTGCATTCAACATTAAACAAATCATCAAGTTACTTTTATAATAATACTAGAGGTTGATTAAAATCTGCCAATTTCGTAAAAAGGAGATTATTTGGTTGGGGGGTATTTTGGTAAATTTTACAAAGAAACTATCACACATCTGAGTATTTTGAAACAATTACACTATAGAAAACATAATAACACATATGTAGCAAATTATTTTTCAATAAAATGTACCTCTCTGTCTGTGAAATGCGTTTTGTCTTTTTCTTGCTCAGGAGTCAGATGAAGCACTTTTTCCTCTGAAAAACAAGTTTCAATGTATAAAAATTGCTTCACATAAAAAACATTATACATATTTATAAAATACTATAACTCCAACATGTAAAGCCTGATTTAGAATGAAAAGCACAATTTTGATTATTAAAATAATTAAACAAGATTTAGCTGTAAAATATACTAAACTAGCGGAAGTACCTGATGGAAGTTAAGTTAGATTGAGAGTAATGCATCTAATAATAAAGAGAACGATACTGCCGTAATCCTTCTCTAATAATGATGCAAAAAATACGATTCATAGTCATACATTTTTCAGTCTGATGCGATATGGAACCCACATAAAAAATTTCGATAGAAAAGCTAATTCTCTCTCAATATGTCAGCAAAAATTGAGTGCAGTTTTTAACAATTTCCGTCTTTCTAATCAAACAGTAATGAAAGCTGAAATTTCATCCAATGTTTCACTTATATTCAATTTTAGCTGATTAAATGTCGATCATAATTCAACAGAAATCAATAACGCGAACAAACACACAAACAGACATTCTTCCTTATATACATAGATTTTGCGAAACTTACAAATTTTTGATTAACAAACTCTACCATTTGAAAGTGAGCAGTAGCAACATTTTTCGAAATAAAATATTTTTATCTGCAATGCGCGAGACTGTCGCCAGTCGGAAAAATGAGTGTTAAAATTAGTGCTTTCAGAATTTTTAATTAATATTTTAGTTGATTAAAAGTTGTACAAAGATGAGAATAGTCGAAATGGCTTCCCACAAATTTTTGGAATTGGGAATAATGCATTTATTGTTTGGCAATGCTATTTTATATCACTGTAAAACTTAGAAATGTTTTATTAACAAACTCTACAATTTGAAAGCGAGCAGTGGCAACAACTTTCGAAATAAAGCAGATTTTCATCTGCAGCTTGCGAGACAATGGGAAACAATGCCACTGAAAAAATGAGGGCGAAAATTATCGTTTTTCCGAGTTTTTAATTAATATCTCCGATTTTAGCTACTTTCTTTTGGATAAAATGTAGACGTTGACCTTTTACAGGACCCATAAAAAAGTGTAGAAAGTTTGCCGACGATAGTTACAGTAGCGACCGAGTTATTAGATAACAAATACACAAATTTTCTTCTTTATATATATAGATTAAAATTTAAAACAATTAATTAATTACTAAATATTAGGCTCTGGCTAATTCCATTCAAATCTATAGTTTTTTAAAAATTTTATATTGATGGAAATCTTAGTTGGAAAGAAATATTTTCAAATAAAAATAATAACACACCATTCATAAATTTAAGGCAAAATTACCGTAATTTCCGGAAGAAAGGCCGCATCAGCGTAAACGGCGCACGAGAAAAATGGCGGGAAAAAAATTTAAATTACACAGAAACGCCGCAATAAATTAAATTGCGCGTGACATCGTCGCGGGCCGTATAGATGCAAAAACTCAACCTAAGTCCTGATATATGACATACCAGTTAAGAAAAATGCATGAAATGAAACCATAACTCAAAAATAAATTAAAGGTAAGAAATGTATAGCTTCTGTGCCGTTTAGAGACATTTTCAAAAATTTTCCGCACCCTAATTAAAAACTATCCAACAAGTACTTGTACCCCACAGCTGACTGTATAGAGTTGGCTGTGCTTGTACCCTAACTGATGGGATCTGTATTTGGCAGAATTCCAAGAAAAATCCATTCATGCTGAAGGGGAAATATGTCAGAGTTCGTTATTGCGAGGCAGGTGGAGTCGTGTCCGCCTTTGAAAAAAATTGCAGAAAAAGGCGGGTGGAAAGAGGATGGGTCCTGGAAGATTCATCGAATGGCAGAGGAGAGAGACTATTCAAACTGATGAGAATGTTGATTTGAAAGGGGGAAGAATGTTATTCTTCTGAGATCTCGTTTAGGGTGAATAAGGCATGTAGGTCCGTTCAAGTGAAAGAACATAAACAAATAATGTTCGCAAAAAGCAACTGAGTGGTCCTTTTGTGTGGGAACAGCACAATCTATGCAACAATACAAGGCCATCCAACTATGTACAATGACCATCATAGGAAATATTTTATTTTTAGTGCACCTAAACGCCGCATGGGTAGAAACGCCGCACCCGCTGAAAATTTAAGTTTTAAAAACGTAAACGCTGCGGCGTTTCTTCCGAAAATTACGGTAAATATTGGTAATTTAGAAAAATTTCCGCCATTATCCAAATCAAAGCAAGTTTTCTACTTATTTTGCTGATAACAAGTGGTCTTGATCAAAGCAGATGTTTAAATATGGTGTTTTCTGCTCATGCAGCTTATTTCTATCACGTGCTGTTGTATAATTTTTTGTTTCAATGCAGTGCTGAGAATGCAGAAACCTAAAGCTGACCTTCATCATATTAAGATCATAAACTAAGATTTAAAAAAAAAAAAAAAAAAAAACCCTCCTAATGTAATATTGAGATAGTGGGCTGCATCCGCAAAAAAATAATGCTTCATGTATGGGACCAAAAGGAATTGTACGTTATAAATTGCTGGCACCAATTCAGACAATAAATTCAGAAACTACTGTTTCAAAATGGCAGCTTTAAAGCAGAAATAAAAACAAAATACCTAGAACTGACCCATCATAGAAGTGTCTTCTATGACGACAAAGTTTGGCCACCCATTTTGATGAATGTCAGATACAGACTTAACTGAGAATGGCTGATTTGTTTTGTCTCATTACCCATATCCATCAAACCTTGGCCAGTCAGATTTTGTCCCTGCAGGTCCCTTCAAAATTCTCTGAAGATCTGGAGTTCATCATCTTCAGCAATTGTGCAACTCAGTAACTTTTTTTCATGTTTCGTAGACATTTCTGAACATGGAAATTAAGTACTCTTAAGGACCATCAATGAAAAAAATTAAGGACCCATCAAGCAAGTAGGAACTGAATAAACTAAAGCAAATATCTACACCTGAACTTCACTTCTGTAATTTGTAAGAAAAAAAAAAAAAAATGAATCTGTAGAATACATTAAATTTTTTTCAAGTAATTGGAATTAAATTATAAAATTTCTTGAAACATTTATATTTTAAAGTACTAACAGTTAGCTTTATACTGATTCTTTCTTTTATCTCATTTCATCATTCAGTCTAGAGGTATATGCAAATTCTGTCAAGTGACGTAACTTAAACTCTGAAGTAAAATAATAACAAGCATGACTAAAACAGAAGTTTAGCTGTTGTCACGGCAGTTGCTTGCTTAGAGACAGACAGCCGCTAATCAGAAAAGACGTGAACATATGATATTGGCACACGTTAAGAGCAAGTTGCATTTTGTCTGACTCAGTGCCATAACTTCATGTAGATTAGCTGAAGCTGCAACCCAGTTAACATACAGTATTTAATATGAAGTTCCCATAAGCCAATAGAATTTTAACTAAATTGAGATGATGTAAATTTTAAGAAATTAAAATTAACAGTTCTCTGAAAACACTCACCATCTGTCGTATGATTTTTTAAAACATATCGCACTATGTCCAAGTTTTCCCACGCAATTAAGATTTCTACTGAACCCATTTCTAAAGCTTTTAGAGTGTCTTCAACACCAAAACAGTACTTGCCAGTATCTTGAGATATTTCATCAAAATAACGACCTACAATAATAAAAAATATAAATATATATATATATATATACACAAGGAAGATTAGAGAAATACTTTAAATAATAGATAAAACTAAAATATTATAATAAAAAACTTATTTCAATTTTATACTACAGACATCAAAATGATTAAATTATATAGGAAAGTTACCAGCATACACATTTTGAAATATGAATAAGCAATATATGTTAAATGTTCTAGTGCACTGACAATGTAGTCAAGTTGAAATGAAATAGGCTACTGCATGTAAAACATATTGAATATAAATTATTGAATTGGAGAAGAAATAAAACACATTTCCTTAAAACTATCAACTTGCATTCTGAATTAATGCTTAATTTTAATATTAAAAATACAATGTTAATATACTGTCAGGCAAGCTGTTTCCTACAGCTTTGAGTCCAGGTTCAAATACCAAAGAAGGCACAGATACTAGCAAGCGCACAATGTGTCAATGACAGCACTTAAAATACAGCTGAGTCTTAAGTCAGCTCAAGAGGTTGGATTTGTAAACAGAAGCGAAATTAAGAAAGAAATTTTAGCCCCGTTATAGGGCACCCCCAGGCAATATTTCTTGGCAATGCAATGGCTAAATATTAAAATGGTTTTGACCTCCAGTGACAAATGAATTAAGTTGCAAGTTATACTGTTAGGAACAATAACATTAAAAATTAAAGGGGGAGAAGAGAAAAAATGAACTTAAGGAGGTGGATAAACATTTCCAAACCTGGAATATGAACAATTATGAAGTTCCAAGGTGAAAACCAAAAGT